TTTTAACATTTTGGCTTCTTTTGCTCAGTCAATACAGACAGTACTAAATTATCACATGCTGTCACAGACTGGGCCATACAAGAGAGGCTGCAGTTCAGGATCCTACTTTACAAAGCAGGAATGAACTTAGTCTTCTTGCCATCTTCTTTCTGCACTACATGTGCCCTGCCTCTAGCTGTCATGGTCAACAAGTAAGAATGAAGCCTCTTAAGTTAAGATCTCCCTGCCCCATCCCAAGCACCCTGCCCTTGACCCAGGCTGCTGCCTTAGCCTATTTGAGGCTGAGCAGCAACTAACCCTTTGCAGATAGGTCTGGGAGGGAAATACCCAAGTCTGTTACCATTTAAACCAATTTCTAGGGTGAACAGCCAAGTTCATTCCCCAAAGGCATTCACCCAGACCAACCCTTTAAAACTAATAGGAAGCTTCACTTTCCTTTGATTTGGGGACTGGGGAGGGAAATTTCAAATTTAGAAGGCTACCAGAGAGCTTAAGAACAAAATTTAGCGAGGTCCTTGGGTGTCAATTGCTTTTAACTCTGAGTTTTTATATTTTTCTTACACAGTAACCCTTCCCTTATTAAAAACATGCAGAGCAGCCACGCCTACTGCACACCTCTCAACGCAGCCTTACAGGTAAGATTAACGGCCATCCTGAATCCGCGGCCCAGGCATAGGGCTCCTCCACTCATTTCAAAATATATTAGCCTCGCTCTAATTAGATATTAAATTTTAATTCCGTTAAACTTTTTTCTTAAGTGCACAAAGCATCGTACTCCCCGGAGGCAAACACATCGGGCTGCTTCCGCATTAGCGGGATGCTTAGCATTTTGAATATTGTGGCAAAAAAATTAAAAGTTCACTTATTAATATTTATCAGCAGTATCATAATTTCCATCCTCTTATTTCAGAATTTCACTTGAGGCAAAAATACCACAAGTGTAATTACTCTAGCACAGCTATTAATGTGCTGGATGATAGGCCACCGTGTCACATGACCTTCCATTGTTCACAGGTTTAAAGAGAAAGCAGAGCTTTGTGTTTCTGCCTCTTCCCTTAAAGTCCATTTCAACATCTTTTCTTTTTATGGGGATGGCAAGGGAGTTTGGGTTGATTTCCTTTTGTATAAGTCAACTATTTGTTTAAACAATAGAATGCTTAAGAAAAATACAGTTTTCTAGCCAGTTTATTGAGAATGTTTGTTTCCTAATGACAGACGAAGTACTTGTTAGGCTATCAAAGGTCCTAGAGGGCACAAGCCTGAGGGCATGAGCTATCGTCCCTGCAGCCAGCCTTTTGTTTCTTGTTCCCTTTTGGTTACCACACCACCAAATTATTTCTGACAGAATACCCAGTAGTACCCAGGGTCCCCCTTAAGATCCCAGAGGTAGTCAGTATCTTTTTTAGACAGTGTTTCTATTTAGAATTTTTTTTAAAAAAACATACCTTGACTATTCTAGAAAATATTCCAAAAAGACTTGTACAATTTTTACATAATGAACTCTATAAACAAATCTCACTTTAGTTATCATACAACCTTTAACACTGGGTATCATCAATATTATAGCACCCCAAAATTGGCTTTTGGATTCTCTGATGGCTTGGACTCTTCTGAAGGACCATAACACTTCTGAGGGAAGGCAGAAATACAGATGCAAGAATCTAAAAAGGGATTGAGACAGTTGGCATTTATGGGACCTGGAAGGGAACAGGGGCTGGGGAGGCATTGACAGCAGACTGGTTCTCCCCAACTTGCTAAACAAATACTGATTGAACACTATTCTGTGCCCCACAGAACCTTCTTCCCAGCTCACCAACAGCATCATTAAAGCTCCCAATAGATAATATACCTCTTACACAGTTCAAGGGTAGAGTCACTGAACTTAGCATTTCAGTAAAAAAAAAAAAAAAAAGTTTATTTTTAGTCTGAACTAAATTTAATAGGAGAAACTACTTTCTGCATTTCTTTTAATTACTTGTAGTTTACACAGTAACTTTACAAGAGTAAATGAAAAGCATACTTAGATGCTGCCACTGTAAACACCATGCATTAGTAACTTATTTTCCCTAGAGTCTTATGAAGTATGAATTTAAAGCCTGCTGTATCTGGAATGGTATTAAAATTACAAGCACACTTTACATTCATGAGGCAGAAAAGCAAAAAAAAAAAAAAAAAAAAAAAAAAAAAAAAAAAAGACTCTCGTCTTCTGGATTTCTTTATGCGACTAATTTCAATTAGTGTGCTTTATCGTTACAGAAATGTACATGCTTCATTTCTAAGACATTTGTTTTCACATCCCCTGCACACCTCCTTTTTTCCCATGGTCACCTAGAAATACCCTGCAGCTTTCCAGGAACACTTTAAGGAGTGGCTTTCTTGCAGCTCCTCAGTGAATTTGGATTCTCTGTCAGTAGACAGTCAGTCATACAAGACAACTTCCTGCCATGCAGATTAAATAAAGATCCTACCAGCAGGCCTTCCTTTCCATTATCACTCATTTCCCATTTTTCAAGGCAAGTAAAAATAATAGCACAACAATATCTTTTTGAAAAAAAATTACTAGAGCAACATAACGGCATGATACACAATTTATAAAATAGGACAGCAGAATCCACTACAGAAATAAAACATGGGGCGCGGGACAGATTGCATTATGCGCTGAAAAAGTGAAGTAACTAAGGGTAACCGTAAAGCTTCATATTTATAGACTGCCTCCCCACCACACACCCCCAGGAGTGCAGAGCAGTTAACATTCCAGAATGGTGGTACTTAGGAATTGGTGTGCCATCACTTAAGCACCTCTCTGTTGTTGGCACAGATGCCAGTTTGATATGAAACCACATACTGTGCCCAGGATCATTTATGTAATTATGTTCATTCTAAAAAATGTGACATACCTGCTCCCAAAAGAATGCCAGCTACAGGAAGGACCTCTCTGTTAGAAGCAGTAGGTGATAATTTGTGGGCTGCTCTGATCTTGCACTCAGCTAGGTGAGCCAGGCCCCCAGGATCTCGAGGTAGCCTAGTGGCCGTTTTTTTCCTAAAAAGGCAAAGCTAGTTTTCTGTACTAACATTGTGTCTGAGAATCAAGAGACCCACCAAGAGCTCATCACCAGCTGACTTTTTTTCATAACTGTTACTGCTGGGCCTCTGTGCGTGATCTATGACCCAGTGTCAATGAGAAATGATTTTGACCCATAATACTTTGAGAGTCAAAAAGAAATAAGCACATCCATATCCCCAAAACATGACCCTGTCTCACCTATCCCAGAAAACACATTCATATAACAGTTTCCATGGTTTTGACTTCTTGGTTTAGAGGTTTGGGAATCCACCAAAATAATCCAGCTAGCAATGGCCCCAACTTCTTCTGCCCGATCCTGACCGTGCAACAGTGAAATTGTCCTGTGACAGCTGATCTTGTAGTATTTCCTCTGAGCAGCAGCTCAGCCGATCTGGCATGACAAGGAAGTGTGACCATTGTGTGGTCTGACATAAGGCGAGTGAAGATGGCGGGACCCCCCCCACAGTTGGTGGTCATTACTATTCTGCCAACTGTCCTGCCCCAAAAAATAGAAATGCTTCATTGTATTGTAAGAGGAACATTCAAAAAGTACTTGATGCAAATTATTTGACAAACCATAAGACAGTGGAGAATGTTCATCACATTGAATTCTCTGCACTGGGAAATAAAAATGAGATCTTCTCTCCCCCTCCCCTTCTCTTTTAAAAAGGAAGCAGTTAGATAAATAAGAGGGAAAGAAGGAAGTACTATCTCGGAAGCTCTTCAGACACTGGGAGCAGGCTCGGACTGGCTCAACAGGCAGACTCCCTGCAGCCCAGCTTTGCTTCCTCTTCTTTGTTTTTGGCTGGTACTTTGTCTTTGGTGCCAGAATGTCTCAAATAGTTGGACTCTTACATGATGGGCCAGCTGAAGCCACTCTGCCAGGTTGTGTAGCACTTGTACTTTCGCTCATTAGGATGGAAAACCAGGCCAGTGTGGTCTGCAGGAGGATGATTTTGATAAATCGTCCTTAATTCCAGCTGCCAGTCTTTCCAAGTCTGCCTTCCTGAATGATAAAATGAAAAGTCGTGGGCTCACTCTTCTTTCCCAAGTGAAACAAATATGGCTCCCTCAGCCCAGTCGTATTTTTGACAGTTGTTTCACATTGCAAGATTGGGCGGCCATTACATTGACATTCAATGGGACATAAACAGTATCCTACCAGAGTTTAGTTGGTGTTGATTTGATTCCACACTTTTTAGTTGATGCTCATTTGGAACGAGTTGGTATGGTACGTTTAATATCAATGTCCTTAGGCACCAAAAAGAATTAAGATTTGCCATTTCTTTTGCTAGAGATTTTTCTTTACTCTTAAAATCCTAAGTGATGGTTCTGAGTCTGCAAGTTGCCCGGTCTTACCTTCAACCAGTGATCTGAGGCTTCACTAAGCAGATTCAAGAATCATTAAAACGGGAATGATGGGGAGGGGACAAAAATTGATTCCAATCGTATAATCTCTCCTTTTCTATAGGATCTGAGCGGTAAATGTTTATAGAAGTTCTCATAAATTTGAGCCAGGTGGCCACAATAATCTCATCAAATCTCGGATATCCAATAGTGGAGTCATCAAAACGGATAAAGAAATGAAAATTCCATTATATCTCACTATGCTCTGGAAATATTCAGTTCCTCTTGAAAAAGGCATCAGATATAAACCTCATATTAGATAGTTCTGTCTAAACCATGTGACTCCACCAGGCAGGACCCTATCAATGACTTCACCCATGGATGCCGTGGCACACCCTTGGATAGTTCATCCAAACTAAGCCTGGGGTACGTGCCATGAGTCCGTGTCAAACAAAATCCTATAGTCTCAGAGTGTTAGCCGTGATGCAGTGAGCTGAACTGAAGGCTGTTGAACACACCCATCACCCATAGCCTCCTTGTCTTGGCTGCTCTACGATTTCATGCAGTTTTTCTTGGTTGATAGGCTTCCATGGCTGAGAACAGTATACCTCTATACACTACCGCTTCCATGGGAAATCCCGCTCTGGGCAACCTGGCCAGCGCCATCCGGGAGGAGTTGAATGGGGCCATGGAGCACACCAACAGCAACGAGAGCGACAGCAGTCCAGGCAGATCCCCTATGCAAGCTGTGTGAGTACTGTCCACCCCTGTGCTCTTTGCCACCTGACCCCAGTCTCCCTGTTGAATATACAAACAAGCCCTTCTCTGGGCCTTCTCTATGCCTCTCCTGTCATTCCTGATTTCTTTGAACCCCTGGAGACGTTTGTCAGTGCATAAAAGGACTAGTTACTAACTTTCCCATAAAAGCAATTGGCTTCATCTGGCTATAAGTGCACACAGCAAGACAATGGGAAGTTTCCTCCGCTTTGCATCTCAGGCCATTATTTAAATCACACTGTGATTTTTCTCCTAAAATCAGTATACCTCTCTTTGAGAAAGCTCATGGTGTGTTCAGCTTCCAGGCAAGCTGAACCTAGCAGCAAGGGAAAAAAAGAATGCTTGTTTACTTGGCTGTGCGCTAAGTTTAACCACGAGTGTGATGCAGCAGCATTATTACCAAGCATTAATGATAGCACAAATGAAAGGCAGCATGATTTATAGATTGCTCTTAAAATACCAAAAGGAAAATTAATAGGAGCATTACAGCAGCAGACGGCGGGATAATGAGAGCACATATAACTGAATGAAGTGATGGGCAATGATCACCCCGGCTGAATGTGAACGGTACCAGGACCCTGAAAACCTCAGGGAGGACTGACACCACCAGGCCAGGGTGTCTCTGTGGTAGGTGACAGGGGAGAACTGCTGTCTCTCCCAGGTCACACAACCAAAAAGAAACTACATGATTCCAGATGCTTGGATTCACAGGGGACTAGGCTGCAAATGACAGTCTCTCCCTTTCAGGGAGTTTCGGCCGAATTGTGATCCACTTTAAGTGAATAAACCAGTTCAGTGTTTGCAGTACTGTCCACTCCAAGAATAGGCCACTTGTATACAAGTACATTCTTTCTGAATTACTGACCAACATCTTATTTTAGGAGATCTGGGTGCTAGGAATGGAAATTGTGACCTATAGTAATTAGAAACAGAATGAGCTGGCATCTAATGACAAAGAAAAAAAAAGTCTTATCTGCCAGGCTGTGGGGTAGGGTTGGGATCTTAAATTTGACTTTCATGCTCAAAGTGCTTTCAAAAGAATCTTTAAAAATGGAAATGATGGCTTTTCATTTGTGTGCATGGTCTCCCAGCATATATCCTCACACATGAAGGCAGCTATGTCCCATCCTGCCTAAAGCAGCCTGTGTTGCTGACTTTATGGTTATCATATCTGTATTCACCATTGTCATGACAAGACTTGACTTCAATATTCACAAAGTTCAAAGCAACTATAAATTGGCACATAAGTGATTCCAAGACGTACACATTGAGCAAAAATTCCTGAAGTTGCTGATGGAAGGCACACCATTTTCTCCTAATCTGTTCAAACTCCAAGGCTTAATCCCTATCACTAGGAAAAATTACCAAGCAAAAAGATATTAGGAGACAAGCCTCTAAGCGCACAGTTTAGAGCCATGCTAATTTCCTGAACCTAATAACATCAACTGCAAAGGTAAAATAACAGTTTTGAATAAACTCCAGTACTACCAGAAACCTATGTTTTACAGCATTCATCCTAATTTTTTAGCAAGGCTAAGGCTTCAACTGTTTGAAAGAAAGAAAAGAGCCTCTACATAGAGATACCAAAATGTACTGCTCAAATGTCAGATTTATGCTTGGTGCCCTGTGGAACTCTGTGTTGACAACAGACTCCCTGTGCCTGCTGTCAATGTTACAGCCAGTTACTCTTTCTGACCCTAGACTTCCATTAAGTGAATTCTATAATGACAGAGATTTCATTCTTCTCCAGTACACATTACCCTGCTATGATGCAAATTGTTTTTTAACCGTTCCAGTCTATTGGAATAAATCAAGCTACAAACTTTACAGCAAGGCTTAAAAGACCTTGTTAGGATAGTGGCCCAGCTGATATGTGGTGTTGAGACAGAACTTTACCCCTTTCTGTGACACATGGCACATCTCATTTCTCTTTCAAAAAACACTACAAGGTAGTCCCATAATGATGCTTTGAGATGGTGACTACTGCATACCCTAACCACAAACAATCCCTTTAAACACGAGGACCTATGTTTAAAACCTCCTGTTCATAGAATGGCTGTAGAAAGGGATTATTCAGAAGTAAGGGGAGCAGGTGTAGGGGTTTTTGCAGTTATTCATTGGGAGCCCTTTTGGAAGTAGTGGATGCTGGAAAGAAAGGATAGTAAGGTCTGTTGGGTGGGTGCTCAAGAGGGGATCCATTGTGTAGCCCAGTTTGTGGGTGACACAACTGGGTGTGTGTGCAGGGTGAGGACTTTAAAATTTGAAGGAGAACAACAAAATCTCTGATATCATGAACTTTGTCTTGTGGGGGCCTTACAGGCATCGGTGTCTTTTGTTGTTTAGGGCTGGCTTGGCAAAATGTTGGCCAGAATCTATAAATTATAAAGCAAGAATTTCACATTAAGACTGTGCTTTTTTTTTTTCCCTAAGGTTTCCAATCCTTAACCTCCAAGACTATATTATTTCATCAGATTCCAGGTTGTAAACCTGAGAAGATTGGTAAATATGATAGCTTAAAAAAATCAAGTAGGAAAATGTTACTTTGAAAATGACATTTAAACCTCAGTAACTGGTTAAGTTGAAAAAAGAAAGGCAGAGTTCTGTCAGCTACGCATTACTAAACCCACATGGAGCAACCGATCAAGTTACAGTTCTCTATAATGATACCATGAAACATAATGTTCACTATGGTCAGCAGTGTATGGACTACACTTTAAGGTAAACTTGGACACTGCCTCAACACCTGCAAGGCCGCAAACTATTTTTTAAAATTAACACTCCAAATTGAGGTTGAGTCTAAATTGATAGAGCTCTTTGGAAAATAATATCACAATAAATCAGGAGGACCATAAAGATATTTTGGCCTCTGATCCAACAATTCCATTCTTAGACATTTATCCCAAGGAGGTAAATCAACAGAAGGAGAAAGATTAATGGGTGCCAGTGGTTTACAGTACTGAGCAGACAGTAAAAGCAAAGGAAAGCAATTACAGAATGATCAGTATTAAAGGACTGATTTATCAACGAAGTGAAATCTCACATAGCCAGAAAAATTATAATGAAAAAGCCAGCAAAGTAAAAACAATAACAAAAGAGTATTCTTGCTATGTCTATAGCACATAATGGTATATTCCCCAATGGGAAAGGACAGGGAAGCACTGAATATTGTTTAAGCTGACTACATAGGCATGTGACATGTTTAGCTACACAGTGCCCCAAGTTCAGAAGGACTCTCCCCTGTTTTTAAAATATTTCATTTGTTATTTTTATTTTATATGTATGAGTGTTTTGACTGCATGTATGTAAGTGCATCACAAGCATGAAATGCACACAGAGGCCAGAAGAGGGCATTGGATCCCCTAGAACTGGAGTTACAAATGGTTCTTAGCCTCCATGTGGGTGCTAGAAACTGAACCCAGGTCCTCTGCAAGAGCAGCCCCTGCTTTCTAACCACTGAGCCATCTCTCCAGCTCCACTACTTTCTTTTAAATGGATGATTTCTTCAAGTTGTGAACTGTTTTTTCTTCCAGGGAATCTGTGCTTTTACTTTACACTGGACCCTGCAAATGTTTTAAATTATATAGCCAGGCCTAAATGAGCACAACTATTACAAATTTTAAGTAGATGGAGACCCACATATAAAGTATAATATATGGCAACTTTGCTCTGGCTTGTTTTGCAATTAGTTTTCGAAAATATGGACGTAGTTGTTTAAAGCTATTTATCTGCCATCTAGCCCTCCAAACTCCCTCTGTGCTATGCTGATTTTAGAGTCAATTGATTCTGAGGGTTGCTGTCTTCCAGGGCAGTCCAAAGCATACTTCTGTTTGTTTTCAAATGGTTCCAGGGGCCTTTGGGGGCTTGCATACAGCATCAATTATTTAGGAAGCCAGCCATCCCCGAACCAGGTCTTATTACTAATACTTGATAAGGTCCATTATAAGCCCCTCCCTTCTGCCGGCTGCTTCAGAGATGGGAGCATTTTAGCTTGAATGGTTCTTTTACATATCAAAAGCCCCCTGCAACAGAAAGTAATTTGTATTTGTAAAGGATAGGTTGTAAATATGATTTACGAACAACATTTCCCAGTTGTTATCAGAGTGGTTTTATGTGATCACACCAACCCCCCTTGGATGAACCCAGCCCCAGTCCATAATGAGCAAGTTGGCAGTTCTCATAGCCATGAGAGCCTGCTGGTGGCGGCGACCAGCCGGGCCTCATGTTTTGCCTTGTTTACAGCTGACAGTGTTATTATTCTGATTGGGGCTCCGCTTTCTTATCATATTGTTGTGTTGAGCAAGCCTTTTCCTCTCCGTTTGTGTTTCCTGGCAGCGCTTTTCTTGCCTTATTGACAGTTTGTAAAAATATGCATTAATTTGGAGTTTCAAGCATGTATCATGGTGTCTCTTTGCTGTGTTTGCTTGAAGTTGATTAATGATAGAACCTCGCTTGGGGTCGTCCTCTGGAGAGTTCTTTCACAGGTTCTGCATGTTAACTAGCAAAGCAGAACACACAGCAAGCCATGATTAGCCTCCTGTGCTCAGTGGTCCCCACAAGCCGCCGCTAGAGTACAGATCCTCATTTCACGTAATTATTTGCAGGTCGGTATTCATCTACCCAGGATGCCACAACAGGGTCCTGTTGCCTGGTACTCAAAAGTATGGTCCTGGGACCAAGGGCACTGCCTGGGAGCTGTTAGAATTGCAGAGTCAGAGACCCACACATTCTGCATTGTCACAAGCTCCTCGGGTGACTCGTGTGTGCAGAAAAGAAATGGCTCTGGGCAAGAAAGACCTCCTGTCCAGAGAACATTCTAGAATAGCAAAGTTCAAAGAAATCTTCAGTACCCATGCTGTGCTGCTTTTGGACAGTGCAACTGAGCCACGGGCTTCAAGTCATAGCAAGTTTCCCAGCATTTTAGAGCAGCACAGGTGCCCAGGGCTACTGTACAGGACAGAACCACTGTAGCCTCTGGTGTCTGAGTTGCCCAACACAGGGCAGGCATTGTGCTGGAAAGTGCCCTTCTAAAGCGCTGCTCCTCTCTCTCCAGGCATCCCGTACACGTCAAAGAGGAACCCCTCGACCCAGAGGAAGCTGAAGGGCCTCTGTCCTTAGTGACAACAGCCAACCACAGTCCAGATTTTGACCATGACAGAGATTATGAAGACGAACCAGTAAATGAGGACATGGAGTGAACATCTGGGCGGGCAGACCCCATGACCGAAGATGGGGAAAAGAAAACAAAACATGTCAAAAGTTAGCAGTGAAACACGGTTCTCCGCTTGTTGTACAGTCTGGAGGATTTTCGCTACATTTTGACAACTCTGAAATGTGTTAACTCTTAGTGCCATCAAGAATCCCATTTGGGATTATTTTTGATTTTTCTACTTTTTGTTGAAAAAAGGAATTTGTACTCTGTGCATTGGATGGACTTGTTTGGTACCTGGGATTTTCCTCTCTTTAACAGTCAACATCAGTGTTGTAAATTTGCTAAACTGATTCACTTTTAGCAGCAGACTTTGAACTGCCGTCCTGCCAGCGCGGGACACTGAGGACACCCGACTGAGCTTGCGCACCTGAACTGCAGACCAAGCCTTCGCCCAGAATTCAAGGATTCCAGTGGACGACTATTTGCACAGTACTGCATGCTGATTATCACTGCCTTTACTCTTTTTTTTTTTCCTTCCAGTTGGGATGGGGAAGGCCTTTGTGTGTGTATTGGGGGGAGGGGTTAAAAATAATTATCCCAAACTTTTTAATGTATTGCTTTTTTTTTTTTTTTTTCCTTGCTTCTACTATACCATTTTTAAGTTCTGACCTCAGGCCTCCATTTGGGCCCACAGCCTCCTGGAGGCTTCACGTTTTCTGTACCTTGTGATGAATGTCAGTAGGTGTTTTTATTATACAAAGCTGAATGTTATTTCTCGTTTGTAGTTTTCCGTCACTCATTCCATTTCCCTATAGACATCACCATGTTTCTCTCAAGTCAAACAAAACAAAACAAAACCCATTCCGTTTTGATCTTTTTCCAAAAAGGTCCCAGAGGCTGCACCCTACACATGAAGGTCCCCTGACAGTGACGGGACATCTTGCCAGACAGAGAATGAATGACAGAAAAGAGAGAGAGAGACACACACACACACACACACACTCTAGGAACAATGCAGATTCATTTCACAAAGCAGTATTGGGGGTAGAAGGGGGATTGGTTCAGGCTTTTCTTTCACTTCCACGGCATCCACTGCTGTGGATAACTGCCACCTCATTCTACAGCAAGAGGGAACACAGGCAGTTGGGGGAGACAAATAAAAAGAGAAAACCATCCTTAATAATAATGAGACTGACACTATGGTTGTGGAAAGTTCCCTCTCTTAGAACCAAGTGGCCGAGTTCTGACTCTGTGTTGTCCTAACCAGCATGGGTTGTTTTCTTTGCAAAATGACCAAAAAAGCCAGCTTCCCTGAACAACTTTTCTGAACCAGGTGACAGGTGAGGGTGCTGAGTTTATCCATCAGTGCAGGCCTGCTTGGTGGCATTCATCTGTTTGAATGCAAATGAGACTTCACATTGAACTCGTTATGAGAGTTAATGAGGACTGGGCTCAGCAAATGTGGGTTTCCAGCGTGCAAAGTCGGTACTGCAGTTCAGTTTGTTATGCAATATTATCACACACTAACAGAAGAGGACATCGGGTAGACGGAGGCTCCTGCGACCCACACAGGGCTTACAAAACGTGATGACTCTAGGTCAGTACAACCTCAGCTCTTCCAACCCCTCCATCCTTCCATCTGCTCCCACTTCCCTGGCATTTATTTATCTAGGGCCCTAGCTTTTGTTTTGTTTTAGTTTGAGAGCCTTTCAGAGCTTAATTTATATTCTTTGTACCTTTTATTTCTAAAATTACCAAAGATATTACACAAAGGTAAATTATGTTCTTTTATGCTTTATCTGATGAAGCCAAATATCCTCTTATTGTTGATCAAAGGAGGCAAAAGGATTTAGAGGCAAATGGTGAGATACAGGCTATTGCAAACCTGAAGAAAATAACTGCCCCTTCGTCAAAGAGCGAGCGTATTTAGGAGACTTACCTAGGCAACGGAACCAAAGTTTTTAGTTTTTTCTAGTTTTTTTCTTCTTCTTTTCTGTACCTGTACAGAGACCAAAACTGACTCTTGTAAAGAGAAAAATATGGGGCTACTGCAGAGAACAGGATACAGTATTAATAGTTTTTACAAAAAGAATGGGGTCCCATCTCAAAGAAAAGAAAATGAATGTATGTTACTGAAAATCAGTATAGACAGCAGAGGAGACACAAGATGAAATTCGGAGAGAACAGAACACATCTGTGACTGATGAGGTCACATACTAGTCCTAGAAAAAAGACATTTCTAGAATATTTGTTCGGCACTTTTAAGGGCTGTGCTGTGATCATTGCATTAATTTTGGTTTATCTTGGCATATATCCTTTCATTTGTTTCTGTTTTGATTTTTTAAAAACTTTATCCCTTTTCAGATTATGAGTCCATCAGCATTTTTCATTTATACAAAAAAAGCAACACTCCCGTCCACTCGTAAGCTTGGAACAGAACCGTCTTTGGCAGGTTACAAAACTTCGCTCTGCTTTCTGCAGAAAGGGCGGTCTGTGGTCACTCACAATTTTTTTTTTTTTTTTTCCATTTTTCCAGGCAGCTTCGTGATGTACAGGCAGTAGCCAGGCAGGGTCATGGGAAGGGGGCCTTGTGCTTCTAAACTGAGTGGTTGCTGGTTAGTTTGGTATTCAGAAGAGGATACAAATCTGGTAGATTAGTTCATTCTCAGCATGTGTAGCTAGACACGAGTAAAGGTAACAGCATGACACTGTTAGTACGCATACCTCAGTTCAAACCTTTAGGGAATGATTAAAAATTTTAAAAAATAAACATTTCACTCAGTTGCACTTAGTCGTATGTCTTGCATGCTTAGTCTAAAGACTGTAGCAAAAAAAAAAAAAAAAAGAAAAATTAGATCCAACATATCTTTGCAGGTATCGCAACCTTGCAAAAGAACCAACTGAAAAAAAAAAATGTTCTCAGGCTTTATAGCAAGCAAACTTCACTATGATTTTTACAGTTCCGATTCTGTGTCCCTTGGTGGGGGATTCCGGTCACTTCTTTAGAATGGGGTTAATTCTGTTGTACATATATCCCGATGTGTCTGTGTGAATCTTTGTCTTTTTTCAGGGGGCGGAGGGGAGGGCTGGGGTTTTTTTGTTTTGTTTTGTTTTGTTTTGTTTTTTAGGTATTGTTCCTAAAAAAGGAATAAATGCATACACCTGTTTGTCAAAACACCTTTGCTTTTCGCGCAACTGCTTTATATTAACAATACTAAAAAAATTATCTTTGGAAAACCTACTGTATGTAACGGATTTGCAGTCCAGGCTGCACATGCACATGTATTTTATTTCGTTCTCCTTGCTTTAAGAATATTGGATAACATTTCCTGACATGTGGGAGAAACTCCCTAACCTTTTTTTTTTTTAGCCTTTAAATTGTAACATAGTTGACATAATTTTTTTTCCTATTTTCATTGATTGGAGCGTTTTGTACAGGCTTGTGGGGGCAGGGTGCGTGTGTGCCTGAGGGTGTGAGCGTGTGTGCCTGAGTGTGTGTGTGTGCACACGCGCACGTGTGCACAGGTGTTTTAATCTGTTTTTTGATACATTCCTGTCCCTTGTGTTTCTCCTACCACTGCCTTCCTGACTATCTTAAACATATTCCTAAGTTTGAAAAGAGAAAAAAAAAAGTTGTTTAAAAAACTGTTTTCTCCTGCTGCGGTCAATATTTTTGCATGGTGAAATTCCAGGGTCACACTTTCAAAGTTTCATCAGTAGTGATTAATAATGGGAAGTGTTGAAAATATTGAACTTTTGTATAAAAAAATACTTTTACAAGGTGCCAAGGTATAAAGAATTTTTTTTTTTTTTTTTGAAAAAGCATGTATCAGAAAGGGTGTCCTGCATTGGCAGGAATATGGACCCACTCTACTTGCTCCTAGAGTCTGTCCCTGTGAGATGATTTAGGCAGCCATACTGGACCAGCAAAGGATGAGAAATGTCAAGACTTAAGTATGTAAAGGGTGACCTGACCACCAACCTCCCCCTTTAGATGAGTTCTAACTTGATATTCCCATTGTCCCGTCAGACCTAATAAAGAAAACCTTGGGTTCTTTTTTTTTTTTTTTCCAAACCTGTATTATGATGTAAGTCACTAGCCTTTTTTTTTTTTTTTTTTTAATAACACACAAAATCAGAATTGAAAGACTATTTCCTTTCCACATTCTATTTGAGCTCCTCTGTCTCCAGGGGCATAAAGCAGGCTGTGCTTAGAAGGAATTTGAATCTTTTGGGTACCTTTTGGTTAATGTCATATCCTCCTGACATTCTGGAAGTGTTTTGCAGCTCAGTTTCATTTCACTATCCTGAGAATCAAATGGAAAATTCTAAAGGCATCTTGCGGGCCTACTGTGGCTCATGTAGTCCCTGCTACCAGAGCGCCTGGGTAGAAACTGCCATTTGGCCTGTGGGTACGGTGCTTTGTGTGGATATGTGCTGCCACGAACAAGGGTTGTTTTGTTTTGTTTTGTTTTGATAAGGCATAAAAGAATCTCATTCCTTGACATCAACTGTAATTCCATCATTCCATGTCTGAATACAGACAATAAAAAACAATGTTGTGTAGTCAGTACTAATTACTGACACGATAGCACTCTCAGATGCAATAAAAATGCTGGTTGTTCACACTGGTAGACAGCGTTGCCACAGCCTAAGTTTTTTCCCCCACTTGTGACCTGCTGATATTGTACATTAGGCACATGCCCCCAGCTTTCTCTGACCAGCTGCTCCAAGCCAGAATTAAAATCAATTGTAATTGAATGCTTTCAACACAGGGGATGGTTAAAGGAAGTTCTTATCCTTGGAAGAAGGTTTCCATGTAAAGGTAGAGGGGGTTCAGAAGAGTACTCCTCTCTTCATCAAATTTGATAAAGGAAAAAAATGTTTAATAACTAGCATTAAGAGCAAACTAAAATTTCAGAGGAAAGCAATTTCATGAATAATTCATTGAAATTTCACATCTGCAAGATTAGTCATCCAAATAAAATGCTAATGTCAAAAACACGCACCGTCTATAATATTCTCATCAAGAAATCTTTTTGCATATAATGATAAATGCTTAGATTAGAACAAATGATTTTATAAAAATACTCTATCAAAAGTGCTGGATAACCTCAGCCAAAGGGGAAAATAGCAGAGCTGGGTGGAGAACATCAAGGTCTCAGGAAAACACTTTTAGAGATTTTTTTTTAATTGCGATTTCTTCCCAACATTATTCTTTCATATATATTGTAATGACTAATGAACTTGAGCTTATCTTCCAACACAAATTACCTTGGCAGTGTATTGACAGCCGTACCATAAGTGACCAGACCACAGCATCATTTAAAAAAAAAAAAAAAGAAAGAAACTACTGTGTGACGCTGGAGCGATGGCTCAGCGGTTGAGAGCTTCTGCTCTTGCAGAAGACCTGGGTTCGGCTCCCTGACCCACGTCAGCTAACAGTTTCAGGGGATCCGACACACTTCCTGCCCCTGCAGTCACTGCACGACACGGGTGCACTTATATCCATACAAGCCAAGCACTCGTGCACATTAAGAAAAAAAATGTAAAAGCCATTGCATATATAATCCTAAGCATACCACTAAAGCTGGGAGAATATTTGAAAAGCGACCATGTAGATGCCTTCCTCTCCACAGTGTACCTACCGAGGTTTGGGGAATGAGTGAAGGTTCCTAGTGCTGTTTGAGAATCCACATTAGAAAAGTTTTCTGCAGTGTTACAGGTTTGGGGTGGGTTTTTTTTTGTTGTTGTTTTACTATTTGACTGTCTGAGACAGGATCTCACTATGTAGACCCTGGCTGGCCTGGAATTCTCCTAGGGAAACCAAGCTGACTTCGAATTTGCAGTGATCGGGTTTCAGCCTCTTGAGTATTGGGACCACAGATGTGTGTCACCACGTTTGCCCCCCCCCCTTTTTTTTTTTTTTTTTTTTTTTTTTTTTTTTTTTCTTTTGGTTTGCTTAGGCAAATAGATATTGCTACTAAGGTATAAACTGGTCTCCTCTTTTCAATCGACAGTTCTGCCAGTCTGGAAGCCCTCTAGTCTCATAATTAGCATAACGTTTGAACCTTTAATTCTCACCTGGCTACTAAGAATATAATATCAGGGTTAATTGAATCCCTTTAATTGCTAGGCTTAAACATAAATACTACTTTCAGAACATGCTGGTTAAGTTAGATATTCATGTGAATGCCTACTAATAAACTGTAGGACCTGAACAAGTAAGATAATGTGTTAGTAAATATTTTGCTGGCTGGTTGTCACTGAACATTTCATTGTATTTCATGAACTATTCTACAGCAAGAATACTCATATAATTTATTTCAAGCTTGAAGCTACCCCCAGTTAGTGATTCAGAGACTTATATGAAAAGCATAAACTATATAAAACCGCATAGTTGGGGCTTGAGAGATGGCTCAGCGATTAAGAGCACTGGTTGCTCTTGCAGAGGACTGGGTTCAATTCCCAGCACCCATGTGGTGGCTAACCACCATCTGAAACTCCAGTCCTAGGGGAATCCAATGCCCTCTTCTGACCTCTTTGGGCATTGCATGACAGGTGCACTTACATACATGCAGACAATATGCTCATACACATAAAAATAATTTAAAAAACAGTCTAGGTAGTTTTAGAACAGTAACAACCTCCCACCCAAATAGATAAAAAACAAAGCATAATTGACTTTTCTCATTAGACTGTCTTCTTTAATGATGCCACCTATTTATGCAGAGTAGTAATCACAATTTATCTTTTCATTGTAGTTGAGTCAAAAATATTCTTTATTCGAGTAAGTGAAGTTGGGTCTCAAACCTTCACTTAAGGCACTGACTGATGAAAGGTTTAAGACAGAATGCATATCGGAGGGAAATTAAATGCAAAAACAGTGGAACAATATTTGGATTAGAAAACTATTACTCCAGATGTAACTGACTTATATTTATTTTTAAACAATATTTTATTTTTTATAAAACAGAGACCTGTGTCATCTTATTGCCACTCTGTGAATCATACTGAATGCTTAATACCAAATATACATTTATGTGTATGTATATATGAATTTACCCATCTAAAGTTATCAGCCATCTGCCCATCCTTTTTTTTTTTTTTTTTTTTTTTTTTTTTTTTTCCCCCTGTAGCCCCAGCTGTCCTGGAACTCACTCTGTAGACCAGGCTGGCC